CTACAATTTTGAACCCGATGAACTTTAACTAAGACCCAATGAATCTCATAGATTAGCAGTAAGGTTTTTTTTAGTCACGATGGATATCTCCATTTCGAACCATTCACTTCAAAATTTGTGATTCTGTTAAGCTCTCGATGAATCGTATCGTATTAAAAAACAAAAAAAAAAAAACTTCAATTGAATTTTGTTTTTTGTCATCAGAGAATGATTGAAATGATTCCATTTTAGATAAATATTAAAAATGCTCTGGAGAATTTTTCATCGTTATGCTTCAACAACAATGACTAATCGTTCGAAAAGTTTTACATATCCACAACGTATTAATCGTTCTCCAACAGCAATACTTGAATCATTAAATACATGTGTTCAAACAGATGGTGGAAATCCTTCTTATCTATTTATGGATGATCCATTTTTAATTCCAACATCAGCACATGAAAAACGACAATTATCATTATCAAAAGCATCAGGTAAAAAAGCAGCTCGATGGATTATGGATCGATATTCATATGCATTTTTTTATGATGTTGCTGTACCATCAATACCATCATATTTTCCAAATTATACATTTGATGAAAAAGAATTTATTGAACCAGATGAAACAACTTTATATAAATTAATGAATTGGAATAAAATTATAAAAGCCTATGAAATTTATAAAAAATGTTTAGATTATAAAATTAATATATCTGATACATGTAAATATGCATTATTTGATCTATTATGTATTTATAATAGTGATAATCCTATGGAAATTTTACCACCAGAAGAAGATTGGTATAGAAGAGAATTAAATGAAACAAATCAATCAGGTAGAATATTATAAAAAAGAAAAAAAAAACATTTTTCTTGAATAAAACATAAGAACTTAAATTAATTTAACAAACAAAAAAAAGCCAATTAATTAATTTTCAGATAAAAAAAATATGAAAAGATAAATCAAGAGTAACGAATATTAACATAGATGAGAATGTTTTATGTATGTTCACACAATATTATCTCAAGATTTATAGAGACAATCATTCTAATATTAAGTTAAAACGATTGATTAGTTGACCGAAGAATTAAATAGATCATAATCCATGCATAGACTATAAATAAAGTTTACGTACTCTTCTTAATTGCGGACGTTTTTTTTCTTAATTGAAGGAAAAAAAAACATCCACAAAGCAGAATCGAAGGAAGAAACAAAGATGCCCGCACAGCATAGATATAATAAAATAATCTATGCAGATAGCTTGATTGAAGAATATCAATTACTTCGAGCTAGTCTAGTGGCGTTCAGATCATTTTGTAAACATATATTCTGAATAAAAGTATTTAAAGTAATGAAGATGATTTAGATAAAAATGTAGTCTTTAAAAACTATCATTTTGGAATTCAATCAAAAAACTAACAACTGTGTAGAAAATTTTCATAATTAATTAAATTCTCATTGTCAAACATCACTTTTGTCTCTCCTTCCGATTCTTCATTACGGACATTTTCCGTTAATCAACCAAAAACAAATATCCTCAATCAAGCTATAACCAAAAATAGACATTAATTTTGTTGTAATTCTATAACTAAAAGAATCAAATTTAATTGATTTTTAGAATAGTTTAAACCGTCAATTGACAGAAAAAAACCAATGCTCATCGCAAATCGATTGTTTCATGATTCAACATGAAATAAAAGTTGTTAACACAATCCCTGCAGAATTAAAATATGAAACACGATGTAGTTGCTCTTACTAACCACAGTGAAACTGTTTTATTCCATCTATTTCGTTACACAGTTTCTCACCATTATTTTCCTTAATCCGTCACAAATACAATAGGAAAGTAGTTCAGGCCACCCCCCCCCCCCCCCAAAAAGTCACTTTTCGTCAAAATGATCGAAATTGAGATAACCTCATGGGGATATAGCTCGTCAAATGCTCTTTCATAAATGACAAAAGCTTTTACTCAACACCTCTTTTTTTTCGAAAATTCTGGAAGATTCTTGTCACCCCTATTCGAAAAATCAGCGGTTTTTACAAAAAACCAAAATCATTTTTCTCAGAACGTGAGTTTAACGACGTATCTCCAGCAGAACTCCATCGCAGTAAGAGATAAAGCCAAATATTTTTTTTTGTTTGAAAGCTTATGTGCCGGACTAGCGACTCTCGTGGCCCTTTTTTTAAAATAAGCTTTTTTATTATCATAGAAGATAACATCTCTATTGGAGCAGCGCCATTTTTAGAGAGGTCTTTTGAGTCATTGAACTTTCGCTCCGGTTTTTCCCCTAAAAAGTAAGACTTTAAAAAAAACAGGGCCACGAGAGTCGCTGCATTCTGACATGCTCTTTCAAATAAAAAAAATTAAATGTCTAGAATGAAGACCCATAGAGAAAACTTGGAGATACTAAAGAGCTATTTTTGCTCCTTGTTTGGTGCATATCTCGGTTAAACATCCTGCTATAGGGCTGAAAATTTGACCATAGCCATGTCTCATCAGCACCAACATATCCTGAAGTTTTCAAGTCATTTCAATGTTCCTGGGCTGAGATCGATTTTTGAGGGGGGGGGGGGGGCTTCATATATTCTAACGAGCTGTAAACTGTGATCCCATATCTACCATGGCCTGTTGGGTAATAACCTACATTCAAGTCGACTAAATGTTTCAATAATAAATTAGATTGAATACAAGAAGTTTTTCGATTGAATGTATATTGTATAATTTCATTTAAGATGATGTTTTCTTTTTTGTTTAAGGCTTAGTTCAACGAACTTGGAAAGATAATGGTTTAGCTGAACAAATGTTTGAAGAATTAAAACTTACAGCAACATCTGAACAAAAAATTCGTCTTTATAATTCATTTGCTAGTGGTTTATTTAAATATAATCATGCTGAAAAAGCTATGATAATTATTGATGAAATGAAACAAAATAATATTTCAATTGATTTAATAACATATAATTATCTTCTTCGTTCAACTAGTTTAATAAAAGAAACATATGATACACGTTGGCAATTTATGATTGAATATTTAAATGAAATGAAACAAAATTCTATTCAACCAAATTTACGTACATTTAATTCAATATTTTATACATTAAGACGTTGTTCATTATATGAACGTGGTCCAATTTTAGCATTATCTTTATTAAATGAAATGCGACAATGTGGTATTGAACCATCACTTGGTACATGGGCACATATTATTATGATTTTTTATCCAAATGATCAAATTGGTTATGATACACAAATTTTACCACAAATTATGGATGAATTAGAAAAACAATATGAATTAAATGGAAAACAATTTCAATGGAGAGATATTGATGATAGAGAATTTTTTTTTAATATTATGTTTAAAGCTACAGTCAATTGTCGAGATGTTGATTTAGGTATTTACAAACTAATATATCAAAGATATATCCAAATAAAGAATAGATCTTTCAGAGTTCTGCTGAAAAATTGTTAAGTGTTGGAAGCAGAAATAGAATGTCGGGATTAAGTTTTTTGGTTTCGATCTCGATAAATCATTTTCTAGTGATTCCGGTTATGACCTTGATAAATCTAATCTGATGCTGTTCCCGGTAGTTTTAGTTTTTCAAGTGCCGGTCGAAAGAAAACTATTATAGAATTTATTCTTATCGCATTTTAAAACAATTTTTTAAATACTTGTTTTTTGATTTGTTTAGTCGACGACTAGTACTTTTTGGATTATGTTCTGATTGATATGATTTATAGAATAATTCGCTTAAAGCTCCGGTTGGAATACATTTTTTTCTCGTTATTCGGGTCTCGGTGATCGGAAGTTAAGTTAGTCCCACATATCTCTAGTTCGGATTCAATGATTCGCTTCCGACAAGAAACGGACATTGACGATGATGAAATCAATGCTGTGAAATGCAGTATTCAAGATTCGACTTTTCTTTCGAATTTATATTCGAAGTACTCGAAATTACTATTTGAAGAGAACGGCTGGATTATATTATTTGGGTGTATAAGATTGTTTAGAATTAGATTTTGTATTTGTAAATTTAAGAGAAATATATTTTGAAAAGTAGTATTAAAAAGTGTAAAATTATTCTTTTCACAGAAATGAACGTTCAAAATTTTAACAGTTTTTTTCTATAATAAATATTGTGCATACAAAAAAGAAGAAATAAAACTCTTCGTCCAAGAATTGGCTATCACATTTTGAAATTCCGAGAAATAATATTTATGAATTCAAAATATTAGAAAGATGAGGACAATAATAGTGTTCATATCTACATTTGCATATACGCCATTGCTATAGAAGACGCTAAATCTCTTCAATAGATCTTAGGTTAAAAGCAATAATGTGTTTTTTCACATAAGATCATTGAGCTAGATACATGTTCAAGACACTCCGAAAAAACAATTTTGTACTCAAACTAAAGGTTCCCAAACATTTTTGTATCTAAATGATAATATAAACGATTTTGAAAACCTTCTATGACTTTTTCCAAGTCGAAAATGTTACTATCTGAAACACTTTGATGACTTTCAAAGTTTCGGAAACATACAAATGTCCAAAAACTCGCTTTTCTCACAATACGGAATTTCTTTAATTCCTCAATAGTATTTTTTGTTCATTGCCGAGTTCATTGAATATATGACAAAAGTTTACTTTTTTTTTTATAAATTTTTCTTTCAGCTAAACGTATTCATCGTTTTCAAATGACTGGTTCAAATAGTCGTTTTATTCCTGATGGATTTAAAGAGCAAATGTATTATACAAATATGTTTCGTTTACTTTTTCGTTTTGATATACCTGAACATGTTATACCATTATGGGAATCAGTTGTACCAAATATATATTCACCATCAATAAATATAATTGAAGATTTTATAGAATTCATTTCAACATGGAATATAAAAGATTATTATGTTCGACTTTGGTCAGATTTAATTCTATTAGGTTTTATTGATAATAAACAAAATAATCGTCGAATTATTGAACGTTATTTAGCATTACTTATAAATAACGATCAAGAAAATTTATCAAATGAACAAATAAAACAATATGCAAATATAGCACGACAAATTTTAAAACGTTTTCCATTAACATCGGATGAAGATGAACAACAAATTGATGATCAACAACAACAACAACAACAACAACAAAAACGAGAAGTTAATGAAGAACAACAACAAACAAAACAATTAAAACAATTTCAATCAAAATTTCAATATAGTGGACAATTATTATCAAATCTTATTTATTTATTAACACGTGCTGATGATTTTGATGCAAGTTGGTCATTATATGAATATTATTTTTTAAATAAAAATATACTTATTAATCAATTAAATGAAATAAGTCTTATGTCATTATTAAAATTATCAATAAATCAAAATCGTATTGATTATGCATTAAATATAGTTGAAAAAATAAATGAATTTAATTATGAATGTTTAAGCGATGCACTTGATTTACTCAATCGACATGAAAATTTAGATCATAAAGATCGACAACGTTTACGAACAATACAAAAAAACTCTTCTTTAGAAAGTGCACATCTTGTTAAACTTGTTTAGAATATTTTCAAATAAAAGATAATACAACACAAAAAAAAAAACCCGAAAATATAATATACGACTTTTTTTTTCCTATCGTTTGATGTAAAATAGATTGAATGAGCTTTTGTGGTCGTTTTTTTTCTTTTTCTTTATTCCTACTGGTTGCATCAATTCTACACGATTACGAATCAGTGGCTATGTTTATAAGCAGGAGGGTAAGAAGACGAGATGGATGGTAGCAACACCAAACATAACAAAATAATCGTCATAGAACGGGCAAAATAGAACGTTAGTAATTACAGTTATGTGTGTGTAATAATAAGATAAAGAGGAAAGGAAAAGTGGCGAAAAACCACCGACAATTGACGCATCTTTTTTTTTTCTTTTTTTTTGTTTGTGGTTATTCGACCTTTAATTCATAATTTATTATGCCATGCAAACTCTAGTCATTTAAATATGCATATGATTGTGTGCTAACAACAAAACATAATACTAACCATTGAATATAATTCTAGTTTTTAGATTTCAGTAAGTGTATGCGTGTGTTATATATCAATCATGACATCATCGATAAATGATTTTTATGATGGAAAAAATATTCTTATATTTGGTTCAACAACATTTCCTGGAAAAGTTTTAATTGAAAAACTCTTACGTTCATGTCCAAATATTAATAAAATTTATTGTCCAATACAATTAATAACAAATAAATCAAAACTTAATATAAATCAACATTTTTCACCAATAGATATATTTGCTGAAATTTATACAACAAAATTATTTGATCGTGTACGATATAATAATATTAAATTTCAAGAAAAAATTATACCATTTGATATTAATTTATTATATTCATCATTAGATAATGAAATAATTAATTATGAAAATCAAGAAATTTTATCTTATAAAAATATACAAAATATAATTGATATTTGTTTTTATATGGCAAATAATTCAATAGATTTTATAGAAGAAAATCTTAAAGAAATGATTCAAACAAATGTTATTAATCTTAAACATAATTTAAGTTTTTTAAAAACTTGTACAAAACTTAAATCAATTGTTTATCTATCATCAATCTATGCAAATATTGGTAAATAAAATATTTTTCTTTTTTCAAAATACTTTTCATATTCATTTAGAAATTTTATTTCATGAAGAAAAATTTTCAACTGTCACATCGTTTTTGAGTCGAGCTAATGCGCATCATGTAGGCCTTAATGATCTGTAAATATTCTGAAAAAATTTTGCCCCACTTGCTTATTACTGCTAATGAAACTTTGCATAGAGATAGACGTGAACGTTTTAAATCTTTTCGTTGTTCCTATCCTAAGATACAGCTATGGTAGAAATGACTTATACACATCAGCAGATTCTGATGTTTTTATTTCAGACTAGAAACAATCAAAAGATCTGAAACTTTCATAATAAACTATTCTCATTGAGATCTGTCCCTGTACAAAGTTTCAAGTTGAAATTCGAAACTCAGTTTTCCTAGTGTTCCCCGAGGGGACCACAGTTTTTTGCTTATACATACAGTAAAAATACAATATCTCGACAGTAATAAGCAAATGACACGAACTTTTTTCAGAGTATTCATAGATCATTGGAGTTTACATAATGCGGATACACTCGACTCAAAAGCGATGTGACAGTTGGGAATGTCCCCTCGTCAGATTTTTTTTAAAATGCCAATTACCATTTTTTGAATAGCTTTGGATAATTTCTAGCTATCGAAGTCGGATTTTCGCCATTAAATAGAGCAATGCAAGGGGGAGGGGACATTTATCTATGTAATATTCATTAAGTTTCAAGGATATTTGCAAGTAAATATTTTTTCTATTGCATATGTGTACAAGTTTTTATAGTAATCTATGCTTAAATTACACTAAAATGTAGTCTGAAGAGAAGTTTTCTGAAATCTAGAAATTTTATGGATAATACAGCTTACTCTAGGCTGTATTTTGGTATAATTTAAACATCGGTTGCTACGAAAACTTGTACAAATGTGCGATACAAAAAAAAATGTTCATTTGCAATTATCCTTGAAAAACTTCTTGGAACTTAATGAATATTATATAGATATATGTCCTCTACATTGCTCTATCTAATGATGAAAACCCGACTTCAATAAATAGAATCCATCGAAAGTTATTCAAAAAATGGTCGTTGACATTTTTAAAGAAATCCAACAGTAATCACAAGGACAGATATATGTTAGCATTCTATCGAACGGATGATACAGAGGTTTGAGCACAATATCTTGTTAATATCTACCGAACAATGTAACCATTCAATCATGGCATTTCTTAAAATTTAACTAACTAATCAGTATTTTGTTAAAGATTAGAGAATTTTTAATTAATATAATTTCTATTATAGATTGTCCATATATCGATGAATGTATTTATCCATGTTCAATAGAACCTGATAAATTATTTGATGCTCTTGATTGGATGGATAAAGAAATGATTGCATTAGCCACACCAAAACTTATTGGAACAAAACCAAATGCTTTTTCATTTTCACATTGGCTTGCTGAAACAATTTTATCTAATGAACAAAAAAATCTTCCATCAATGTCAATTATACGTGTATCAATAATAGGTGCATCATGGAAAGAACCATATCCTGGTTGGGTTGAAAAATCTAATGGACCAAATGAATTTTTTGTTGCTGCTGGTCGTGGTTATCTACGTTCAATGAAAGGTGATTCAAATGATGTACTCGATATTATACCTGTTGATATTCCAGTTAATTTATCAATAGTTGCTGGATGGCAAAAATATTCTGAAAATAATAATAATAATATAACAATATATAATTGTACATCAAGTGGTCTTAATCCATTTCATTGGCAAGAAATGAGTAATTATTTTATTGAATATTCAAAACGTATACCATATGAACATGCATTTCGTCGTCCAAATTTATCTGTAACAAATCATAGTTTAATACATGATTCATATAGATTTTTTTCACATTTAATACCAGCTTATTTAGCTGATATTGGTTTATGTTTAATTGGACATAAACCACATATTGTTAATATATATAAAAATTTACATCGTACATTAATTCAACTTGAATCATTTACAATACGTGAAGAAATACAATGTTCATATGATAATTTAAATTCATTAAGACAATTAATAATTGAAACAAATAATTTTAATGATTTTTATTTTGATATACGTGCATTACATTGGCCAACATATATTGAATCATATTTAATTGGTATAAAACGTTATATATTAAATGAAAATATAAATTGTTTAAATCATGCACAAAAACATTTAAATAATTTAAGAAATATACGTTGGACATTTAATATAATAATACTTATACTTTTATGGCGTATATTTATATCAAAAAGACCAACAGCAAGAAATCTTTGGTATTTTATAATAAATTTTTTTGTTGCAAAATTTGTTCGATTCTTTAAAATTCTTAGTGCAGGAAATGCGTAAAAGTTTTTTTTTTGTTTTTTCGTTTATAACTATAGATCAAAATTCTTAAACTAATTATATTATGAGAATTTAACATTCATTTATTTTTTGTTGTCTTTGTTTAATGAGAAACACCGGTTTATGTTGTGTAGGTCTTCTTTTTGTGATTTGTGTTCTGTCTTAAATCTTTCTTTTTTTTTTGCTTTTGTTGTTGTTTCGTTTGTGACTTTGAAAACAACCAAAACTTAATATTAAATGTTACACAATTTATAAATAAATAAACAATTAATGTCAGACACTAGGAGAGAATGTCAATCGAAGATTTTTTTCAATAGTAATATACTTGCAAATGTGTCTTATTGCTGTGGAGATATTTTTTTTACATGTATGCATTGGTTCATCTTCAAGGACACCAGAAGGGTGTGGGTGTTAGATAAGAGTAGATGAATCTGCACCCTCACATCCACCCACCCACACCCAATAACTGCCTAGCGTAAGTTTTCAAACTGACTCAGCATCGTAATAAAAGACCAGTCATTAAAGTCTTAATTTTCACTATGAAAGTATGACACCGCAAAGAGAGTTGGGTATTATCGAAGTTTTGGTATACGATCATATTGAATCATGTCTAAATCTTGCATATTCTACAGATCCAATCGCATGCGACAGTTTTCTGCTTTCAACACTCAGAATATCAACTGTATGAAATTAGATCCACGGCAGAGATCGTCACAAGGCGCTTTTTTTGTGCCCTGTCCTCAGGACAGGACGCCCTGAGGGCATTTAAATTAAATCTCAGCTATAGGATGAATTTATGACATGATGAATAAATCTAATGGGTTTTGTGTTCATTATATATGTGTTGTTTAAGTCATTTCAACAGAATATTATCCATGCGTAGAAACAATCAAAAGTTCGTTTAAATTCTATGAAAACGATACTGCTTTTTATATAATTATAATTTTGCTGAGATGCTATGTTAGTCTTTTTAAATCGTCAAGATTATTTTAAAATTTTTCTACTCGATTAAGATTGAATAACTAATTTAAAAAAATAAAAATTGATAAATATTTCTGATTAATGAGAAAAAATTTTAAAATCTTATCAGTGAAAGAAAACGAAATAATTGATCAAAAGTTATACAATAATCGAGAGAAAATGATGTCATTTGAGTTTATTCTTTGTAAAAAAAAATAACTGGCTTTAATCCAGTATCTTCACTTCTCTTGTACGTATCCAAAGAATAAGCAGGATAACTTGCAGAAAAATAAGATATTTATCAATGAACATAGAGATTGTGATTGACTGAACACTAACATTTTATCGATTTGCAGATTTTCATCGCTACTTACCAAGAAGTTGCGATTTATTTTCTATTTGTTATAAATACTTTTGATGTGATAACCGTGGTTAAACTTTTCTGAAGTGAGGAGAACCGTATTGTACAGTAATAAATCAGAATGAGTATTAAATCTATTAGTTCTGATGAAACCAATTGAAAAGACAGGTTCATCACTGGTTGATGGAATTCCATCGATAATAGATGTTTTGAAAGATTCCATTTAGCTTCGAAAAAGACTTTCAAATAAACTTATGTGAAAAATTAACAGGATAAAAAAATTTGTCCTGTCCTGCCCTGTACTTTTCTTCGATCGCCCTGCAGGACAAACAGGGCAGGGCAACAGGACAGCTCTGACCTGATGACGGTCTCTGATTCACAGACAATAAAACAATGTTACATGTGTTAGTACAAAGGACATGCTGCAATAAGGCCGGTTTTTTGCCCACGATATTTTTGACTTTTACCTATCTGAAAGGTGTCAGGGTATCACTAGAGGTATTTCCTACGACTTAGTTTTGAAAAATGTCAAAGTGATGTTTTTACCCTCTGGGATACCTCCCAGGATTCGAAAAAAATAGTATCAATTTTATAAATGTAATCGGATTTTAGAATTTGAATATGATAAAAAAAGAACGATGAAAAGCATAATTATATGTCAATGATAATGTTTTTTCAAATTGAAATCTCGATATTATTGATCATATTGAAAATAATCATTAAATTCCATATTACTTATAAAAATCACCTGTTGTTCAATATTGATCAGAATATTTACAATTTTCTTGATTATTTTTTTTAAATATAAGTTAAAAGTCAATTTTGGATAAATATTTTATTCGAATTATAAAAAAAAAAATATTTGTTTTAATCTTATATGATTGAACAATATATTATTGAAAGAAACTTCCTGATGATTTCGATCAAACAATATCAATAACTAAAATTAACTTAATATAAATAGTATTACTATATCGATATAATTTATTCACTCTAAACAATATTTTCTCATTTAGATTCAATGATCAAATAAAGATTGTGGATGTAGGTATGAATGTTGTAAAAGAATAGAATATCCACGCACCAATCATACCTACACCCGATGTGTGTCTTCAGCGCAGAGCTGGGCAAGTCAAGTCAAAAATACCCTACTTTCAAGTCAAGTCAAAAATACCCTACTTTCAAGTCAAGTCAAAAATACCCTACTTTCAAGTCAAGTCAAGTCAAGTCTGACTTGACTTGACTTGTGACTTAAGAAATCACTAACTTGGCCAGTTCTACTTTCAGCTTGACCTGGAAGTCAAACGAAGTCAAGTCAGAAGCGTTTAAAAGTTCTTACTAATGAAGTCAAATTAAGTCGAGTAAATGTTTGACTCAACTTGATTTGCCTTGACTTGACTTGACTTGGTAGAAAAATTTTTTGGGTATGACTTGACTTGACTTGACTTGGTCGAAAAAATTTTGGGATCTGACTTGACTTGGTGAAAAATTTTTGGGGTATGACTTGACTTGACTTGACTTGAAATGTTTTTTTAGTGACTTGACTTGACTTGACTTGAGACTTGAAAAATCTCTAAGTTGCCCACCTCTGCTTCAGCGTACTACTATACATCTCAGACACATAGACTCTGAAAGAGATCGACAGAAGAAAGCTACTCGCATTCGAAATGAAATCATATTCGAAGGATGCTATGAAACAAGGCTATAAGAAAGAGAATATCGAAACGAAGAAACTATAGTAGACATAATTAAGATTGTTCGCTTATATATCTCTAGAATGAACGATAACAGGCTAATAAAACACATAGTATTCGTTAAAATAGATGGTAAGCATCGTCCATGTAGAGAATGTCACTGAACGACATCAAAGACTGGTGTGGAAGTAGCGGACAAGACTTGTTTCACCTAGAGCAAGACCAACGGATTATGGAAAAAACTAATCCGTACAGTAGTTGGCCCCAATGGGCGATCAGCCCACGGAACATCATGGACCATGAATCTTTCTCAATTAAAAATAATCAAAGATCTATTGCTTCATATTAATCTAACCGTCGATACAACATTTTGATCATACAGATTATCAACTGTAATCAAAGAAGAAATTTCTTCTTGACATACATATAAATTATTTAACTTCCATCAAAATTTGACAAATTTTTCTATTGATGCAATTGAAATTGGAAAAAAAAATGATCGATATGCAGAGTTATTCGAGAGGAATTTAGCTGAGAGTATTCAATTTCAATATTTACATCAGTAATTAATTTGATATTTAGATAAAAATTGATTCTCACTGTATAATAATCAGAGAAAAATGTGATAACAAGAAAAAAAAAATAAAAGAGATTAAATCTTAAAAGATAAGCTTAAAGATGATTGTGGAAAATTTAAGAATAAATGTGATTTAGTGACATCTATACACCGTCATAGCATAGAATTGATAAAATCGTCATGCGAATGGACGATAAGGGAAGAGAAAAAAAGTGAAGCTACAGATAGAAATAGAACGAATAGATAAAAGTTCAATGAATAATACTCAGATTGAGATGGATTCTAATCGATCTTCGAATAAATCTCATTATGATTTAATTTATTCTAATTAAATAAAATTTTAATGGATCCATATGGAATATTGAAATCGAATGGATGTTATACTGTTTATGGAAATGAAACAATATTTAGATAGATTTTATTTAAAATGTTATTTTCTATTGAATTTATTTTGTTTTTTATTATCCAAATATATTTAAACGAATATTTTCCTTTTATTATGGTGAAGGAAAATAAATTAAATTAGAAGTTAATGTTTTAAGAGAAAAGTTGTTTTATTTTATTTATTTCAATTATTGAATAGATATTATCATATCTATAATTAATATTCAAACCATTGAAATATAGTTATGTATTATGAAACATTTATTAATTTATTTTCAAGAAAAAATCAACATAATCAATTATGAATAGTTTTTCTTTTATTTTATTGTTATATATTTTTGATTAGTTTAAAGATAGTTATGGAATAATGTCATGCTGAATCAATCGTAGATTTAGTTAAATCAGTAACGAGGAAATTCCGAATGATTTAAATAATATTATTCATAGAGATATTAAAGGACGGACAGATAGATTTATCGATTTTTTATAGAATGTTTTATTAACTGAAAATATCGAAGTAAAATTAGTTGATTTTCGTATCTTAATTCAATTTGATCGAACAATTCAAGGAAAAAATTATCTTATTGATTTTTATTATTATTTCTTGTCAGTGTCGATTATATGTAATATATTATCTAAATCAATAACGGTAAAGAAAGAAACTTTGAGATCCTATCAGAACATTGAGAACATAGTTAATATAAAATGTGTTAAGGTCAAGATCTTATACACAAATTAATCGATTGAAACAATATCTACAGATGTACGAGTAGCTTTGACTTACACAAACAAAACTAAAACTGAACTACTCTCTCATAACCATAGATATTAGTCGAGTCGTTGGACTGATGCGAATTCGGACAACAATCAGAATAATCTACCGTTAGCTAAAGATACGAAAGAAATCTTTAATAAAGAGTAACATACTATAAGACAGTCGCGTGATTATTTCTACAGTTTTGTTTGTTTGTTCTACCTGAAGTCTAGAAAATATGGAACAATTTTGATCTAATCTATTTGTTCCCAA